AATAAATATATATATATATATATATATATATATATATATATATATAAATATATACATATATAAATATGACAGAGTTATCAATTATATATAGATATATACATATTAACTACATATACCTATGTATGTATTTAGATTTTAACTGACATACACAAAAACTCGTTGCTTAATGTTTGAAAAACAAAAAACAAAAAATCTACTAAAATATTTTACATAAACATATGAAGGGAAGGAAGATATAAATGTAGATATATTCAAACACATACACACACATATACACAAAACAAACACATACACAAAAAACACACACACACACACACACTTGTATATCTATTTATGGATATATAAACATCTCATACACACTCATAGAAGATACCACTACCCATCTAACAGAGCAATGTTCGTTAAATTATCATTGAAATTAATGTTGAAAGTTATTATACTAATTGTTAGCATTAAAAAAATTTAATTAAAATAATTTCTAAGGTGATGTACATTTTAAAGCAGTGTACCTTAAATTGAAATGCGGTTAAATAAGTTCATATTTATAAGTTCATTTTTTTCGGTTTCAAATTTTTATTTTTATTTTTTTTAATTTTAAATACCTATATCCTTACATGTATGTAGATATTTTGTATACGTATGTATTATTTTTCTTTTATATATATATTTTTTTGTTTTTCTCTTCTTCTTAATTTCCTTCTTTTTTTAATCTCTTTTTTTTTATATGATAAATATTTTTCATAAGCGAAATATATTGCAAATGTATCTTCTCGACACACAAGAAGATGTTAAAATTTTTAATAAAAAAAGAAACGAAAACGTATTTCATTTTCAAAATAAACAACGCAAACTAAGTGTAATCGAACTTTTTCGAAAAATCACAATTTTTCACTAATGCAATTAGATAAAGGTCAAGAATTTCGAAAGTCGCGGTTAAAACAGCAATTACAAATTATATGCAGGCGGTACTATTTAAAAAAAGAAAATAAATAATATAATTAAATAAATAAATAAAAATCATTTTATCCCAATCCGATTACAAAATTCGATTCTATGCGATACCACCATAAGAAGAAGAAATATATATAGATAAAATAAAACGTCTTTCCCCTTTTGGATGAAATAAGATTTACAGTACATGGCTAGTTGGTGGTGTAATAAAAAATTCTATTTTTTGACTTCACACATTGCAATTATCTGGAAATTTTAAAATGGGTCCGACAATGGCTGCGACAATTTATGATTACTATTGTTCACCAACTTATTTGTAAAATCATCTAAATTTATCATATCCTACGTTAGTCATGGTACAAGGATATATTAAGTTTGTGTGCATGTATGCAACGCCAAGAAGGACTTGAAATAGGCCCAACTTTATACCCTTATCAATTTCTGCATCAATCTAAGACTTTCTGTCCATCCGTTCGTTATGTCTTTATGCCCCAAAGATGAACGCTATTGAAAATGGTTTGGATCGGGCCACATCTTCGGCCACATCCCAAAAAACACCATATTTTGAAACGTCATTATATGAATCACTACATGCAGAAAAGTACTGTAGGGTAGTCAATGGTTGGTCGCGATCCACGATAGTGTTTTTACTTATTGTTCATTGCTTTTTATTGGTGAGAGCCCTTTTTAAATCTGCATTCCTTTTTGTTGTTTTTAATCCTTCTCATATTTATATTGGCTTGATAAGATATATTTTTATTTATAATTTCTCCCATTTTTTTTCTTTGGCCGGCTTTTTTCTTTTTAATTGCACTCGGTTTTAACCCATTCTTCGACTTTATTTAGTTTTTCATCCGTATTCCTTGTTGTCATATTCGTCTTCGCTGGCCTATATTGTTTTCAGCCCTATTCTGTCTTCGTTGCCTGCGCTCGATTTTAAATTATATTTCTATTTCTTCAATTTTCTCCTATTTCTTACCTTTCTTAACCTCTAGTGCTTTTTATTCTTCTGAAGTGTCCTTTGTTTTTTTTTTTTTTTTTTTTTTTTTTTTTTTTTTTTTTGTGCATATCTTCTTAGTTTTTAAAGTAGAGAAGAATTGAAAGCAATGCACAGAATAAGTGAAACAGTACGAAACGGGAAATAGTGCAGAAACTAAAAGATGAACAGAGTGTGCCGTAAAAAAAGGAACAAAGAAATAATGAACTTTAACTACGTGGTCGACTGTCATTGATCTTTAAATCCCTGTAAAACAAAAATGCCATTATGTATTCTGCCACTCACTCTCTCTACGCTATACAATGTTCGTAGAGCAACAAAACAAAATACTTGATCACAAGAAAAATAACAATGCACTTTAATTGCGGAGTAGACTGTAATAGATCTCTGAATCCCTCTGAATGCAATTATTTATTCTGCCATTCTCTCTATCCTTTCTCTTTCTCTCTCTCTCTCTCTCTCTCTTTCTTTCTCTTTCTCTCTCTCTCTCTCTCTCTCTCTCTCTCTCTCTCTCTCTCTCTCT